GCACGAAAATCAATCGTTCGTCCGATCCGCACGTGAGATATTTGGTAACGAGAGAGAGAGAGAGAGAGAGAGAGATTGCTCCCGCCATTTCGATACCCTTGTGCAACATGGCTCGGTGAACAATCGTAATTCGGTTATCAGAAGGGCACGCAAAGGAATTTCCAAAACGATGGACATCTACATCGCACGCGAATTCGCCAACTAATACTGTGAGGGGGTTGCACGCGTAAACACCGTGGACAGAATTCGTGTTACCCTGATAATGCGATAATAAGATGATTGGTCGACGTTTCTGTATACCGGAGACGTTTAAGTTAGATACAGAAATGACGAACACGTTGCTCTCGAGAGAAACGAAATCGCCAAATTCGTGCTTTCCATAACAGGCGGTAAATGGACTACATTTTGTGATCGAATTATCACCTTGCCTTTTCTTGATTTTAAGTCAATTAGAAGCGGAAGTGGAGCGAGCAATTTCTTAATCAAGAATACTTTTGTCAGTTCTTCAATTTCTTAAGTGATAGTAAATTCATATTTAACGATAATCGATGTTCTGTTAATTTTATTCGTATGATAATTGAATTATATCGATCAAAAGTTGAAATGACGTTCTAATATTTTCAAATCTAATCTTTTCACATGAGCAATTCGTTAAGAAGCCATAAAACCTAGTTTGCAACTAGGATATATTTCAATTACACGAGTTCGAATTCGTTTCGAATCGGCACAAAAATTCGCATTTCATCGGAAAAAAAATTCATTCGCGATTGTAAATAATTATATTCGCATTCTGAGCTCGACGAAATCCGAAGGCAAACAACGAATGGAGCGATCTTCGACTAAGATGGATTTGTGGCGCGATTAGCCGAAGAACGTTTCGCACGTTTTGGTAAGCTTCGAGGCTTAAAATTTCGAGGGCAGGTCGAGATCTGTTTGTCGTCGGGATGAGCCAACGTGGAAAACTGTGCAACGAGGTGACGGGTTACGTGCGATGAATTCGCGACATGGCATCCCGACTTTTCGACGTATGATACACGTGCGCGATAGAAATCGTTTTTCCCCTGTAAACGTGCGCATCCTCTACAAACAATCCTCCATTCATTGCTCGCGAACTTCCATCGGATTCGATGGAAATTTGAAACGAGAACAAGAATTTGACGAAGGTGTTCAACAGGTTTAGGCGAGCTCTTGTCTCGAGATTAACAAGCCGATATAGCTGATGCTATCTTTTCACAGTGTCTTTTATCTTTCATCTTTTTCTTGTAACACGAGCTAAGAGACACGATCGTAAAATCATCGACGAAAAAATTGACTTGAAAGGAACGCGATATAAATTAACCCTTTGCGCTCCAACGGTGAAAAAATATCGCTTCATGAATGGATTCCTAAACTCTTTACGTATAATCTTAATAAAGTGTAGAATAATAAACTATCGAATCGTTACATCTTTTTATCTGAAATTAGACCGTGATCGCGGATCGAACTACATTTTCGGCGGTAGAAATACTATTTTTAAAGTTTCTGAGTTTTGTAAGCGTGGAATACGATGATGAAATTAGTTCAAGCGAAGATAAGTTTGATTTTTCGTTATTAAATAATAACGAGATTATTTCTATTCGTATAAGAAATCGACGATAGAGAGAAAGAAAATAGCGATAAAATCTAGAGACGTAGTATAAGATGAAAAATAGAATAGACAGTAAATGAAAGCACGTTATTGGAATTGTAAGATTTGTAACAACATTTTCTTGCGATATTTGAGGATGTATCTTAACAATTACTTTATTATTAAAATATAATGCAACAATTTTTAATATTCAACAAATTTTCTTTCTTTATATACAAAGATGGATAAAATATTAAAGTACACGTTTTATACGTTAATTTGTCTGTAAAATCATTTTAAATTAGCTAAGAAATTCACCACACCGAGCGTGGGAAATCTCGAGTTGTTGGTTCGCCCCAACGAAAAAGGAGAGTGCAAAGGGTTAAATACATTCGTCTTACACGATGATCGATAGCGACAATCGTCCCTTTCACACGAATCTTAATCTTACATATAACACTTTCGCTTCCCTCTTTCCCTCCTTTCATCTAATCGACCCTGTTTGACTAGAAAATTTCACAATACTATATAAAATACAATAGGTTCGCTAATGCACTACACCCATGTTATTCCTTGAACGAGCTAAACGATCATCCGTGAGATATCGCAGCGAATATTGGCGATACACGCAAAGTATAGCCATTACTTTCAACAGGAACATAGTAATACTTGGCTCGACCCGAGTCGAGCTTTGCCTCGCGCTTAACCTCCCGTGTTTATGGCCAGTGTCCCGTAAATGGCCAGTTCCTCCGCAAAACGTGTAATAAATAGCCGCGTAATCCCGAAGCCTTAAAAAGTAATATCCTCCTGGGAAGATATCGAGAATCGTTCGTCGATTCCTCGGTGTCGAAAGCCGAGCGACCAAACGATTAGAAAGGAGGGAAGAACTGGGGAAGCGGGGAGAGAGAGGTGGAGGGTGCATCATACTTTCCACGTTCTTGCGTGGAGGGAGAGGAAAAACTTCTCCTTGGTGACTTGGTGAACCCATAACTTCGTCACGCGACAAGGGAAACGCAATTCGTAGGTGAACAACGTCGCGAACTTTCCCGACTTGGCAATTTCCACGCGCTTCTATTTTTTATCCCGAGTCGACAGAGCACTAAATCTTGCCGCACTCTCAGCCACGCGGTTTTCGGCTCGTCCATCTCTTCGCCTCCGCCGAGGAATTGAGCTGAAGTCGCGACTGCGAAATCGAAATCGCATTTTCAGCGGGATGTTTCGAAATGGAAAATCGATGAGGCAAGGAAAAGAATGACAAAGGAAGAAACACGTTTGTAATGTTGTTGCGGTAGAAGCGTTTTAAATGGGTATGCGTGGAATCGAATTCTCTTGAAGGATAAATTTTCGTAATTTATGAATTTGTATATTCGAGCTTCTAATATTGGATGACGATACGTTTCATCTAATTCATTATTTCTTGGTAACAAAGTTTTAATGGTTCTAGGAATACGTGTATAAGTAATCTTTCGTGCATCGATCGTTTCTATACCGTTGCTTCATAAGCTTTGCGCAGGCAATCTAAATAATTTAATTAAAATCGTAGGAATAAAATATTTTGTTGTTCCAAAGTTTTCAATATCTCGTGTTACAGATTACTTGTTGACAATCCGTTTTAATCTCTCAAGTTTTATTAAAAATATAAAATGTAAATTTAAACAAGAAAATTTCCCTCCAACGAATCCTTTTGTTATTTTGTTTTCGACTCGAACGCGCAATTTCCAAACTTTCTGTATTCGTTGTGGTATATCGTGAAGAAACAAGTTGAATATCAAATAAAACGAAACCAATCGCACGATGGTTCATCTTGCTCTCGGTTAAAAGCCAGCTGAAACCGATGCATGGCTTAATACGATGCCGTGAACCGAGTCAAAGCGGAAACTTGTCTTTGAGTGGACGCGCGTCCAACTGCGTCCAACATTGGCATTACGATGAATATGTAACACGCGATAAAACTTCCGGCCGATCGTTCGATTAAAGAGGAAAACATTCGATCGATTCGCGGAATCTTAATTAAAATTGAATAGACGGATTAAATTTATACAGAATAATGCTTTTGAAACGACATTAGAATGTGGAAATATAAGAATAAAAAAATATTTAAACAAATTTAAAATTTAATGAATGATACTTTATATATCGTTAAATATAATTTAAATACTGAATATTATATTAATATTAAATAATAGTAATTAAATAACATTAATTAAATATTATTCCATTTAAAATTGAAACCTATTTGCATTTCAATATTAGATATAATGGAAGATGTTATTGTTTCATAATTTAAAATGAGATTGAATCCGGAAACGATAGGGAAGTTCAGTAACCGTGTTACGGTTCTATCATCTGCATCCTCAACGACCATTCGAGGAAACGTTAACGAAAACGGGCCAGTTATATTCGGCTAGATTATATCGTGGAATTCAAGTTTATTAAGCGACCCCTATCTACCAAGAGAATCGATTCTATGTTATGGATAGGTTAACGCAAGTTGGAAGTTTACTTGACAATTTTCTCGGTAATGGAAGAGGAGCATCACGAGGCTCGTGTATCAAAGCTTGGAAACTTTGTACTACGTTTCGAACGAGTGACAAAGTTCGAGGAAGTTACGTTTCCAGATTGTCGTGATCCCATTACTTTAGAGAAAGACCATTTTCCACTCTATGCAAAACCTGAATTCTGAAAATCGTTTTTTCTTTTGGCAAGAAATTTTAGATAACGATTCTATCTAACATCTTATCGCCTAGCAATGAAGTCATACGCGAGAATGACGAGATTATCGTTTAAAGTAGACGGAATATCAAGTAAGAAGCAACAATCGAGATTATCGAATCGTTCGAAAGCTTCACGCAGAAACATACCTCCCTCTATCATTATCTTGAAACTTTCGAAGCAATCTTTCAAAAAAGATATTATTTCACTTAAGCGATCCATACTGTCGAAATATTCCGCAATATTTCTATCAAGTTTGAGAAAATTAAATTAAATTGATACTTTCTGATAAATTTTTTAGCTCTATAAGATTCGAAATTTAATAATCGAAACCTAACCTATAAAAAAGGAGAATATATATATATACAGTGAATCTTGAAATATATCGAATATCGAAATATATCGAAAAGCTACTCGAGCGTAGAGAATAGATAACCTATAGGCCATTATGTTCGAAACAAAAGTTTATGTGTACAAAATATAAGTTTATGCGTAGCGAAATCACACGTTCCGAATTGTTTTTCGAACGTACAGAATTTCCAAGAATTGCTTATAATTTAGAAACACGGTCTTCGTCTATTCCGATAACGATTAGTAAACAATAACAATGTATCGTTTAACACTGAACGTGTTAAAATTCACGAGATAATATTTATGATACAAAATAGTTTCTTGTACTCACTGTCTTTTACACAGAAGGCGCCGATAATCCAGAGTGGGAAGAGTGGCACGATGAACACGTTCCAGTGTCTTGCATTCGTGTTGCACCGTAGACTCCTCCCGACGTGCAGCCTAAGGTAAATCATGATCGTTCCACGTGAACTCGCCGCGGCTCGATCATAGCAATCGATTGTCAAGCAGCATCTTCCACCAATTTCACTAACACTGTATGTTTTTCGAGATCACAGGACCTCTGCTTCAATTCACTCTACGGAAATTGTCTTCCTATATCCTCGTCCTGCGTGTCTTTCACACACTGCGCCCACATTTTCCTTCGAGTCGAGTCGAGAGGAACGTAGATTAAATATCGACACTATCGATAAACCGAACGACGAAACGAGACGTTGCAAATACGATAATCGAAGAAACACACTTCAAAAAAATCACTCTCTCGTCAGAAACACCGTTTCGTGATGCAAGAAAACCACGGAATCGGCCACAAACACGAGCAATCACTATCGAAACGAAAGTAACATCACTTTCGATGCAAACAACGATCGCACGCGATTGTTTGACACGTTTATTACCCCGGTCTTTCTTCCCTCGTTCGACCGATCTACATTCACTACCGAATTCTTCTATCTTCTACACGATTTTTAAACTTTGCCGTGATCACGTTACTGCCTCGTAATAAACGCACGACACGTTCTATAATAAAAATTCACGCCCGATATAAAATAATTTCGACGGTTGATCGGGAACGACGTAATGCGCGCCACTCGCACTCGACGAGATTTCCCTGCTCCACCGGGCCGTGCGGTGCACACCGCTACGCTAAGCTGCCACGGTCGACGTTAGCGTCGCCACTGTCGCTGTGGCTGCCACCACTACTCTAATTTCCCTCTCCACTGGCGCCAATCCCCTCCACGATACTCTACTCCCACCATTCGCTATCTTGCTGTAATACTACTGCTAGTACTACCACTATCGCATCGCAACGAAGCCAGCTGCCGACGTCGACGTCGTTGGTCGACGCCGACTTCGTCTTCGTCGTCTTCGTCGTCGTCGTCGTTGTCGTTGTTGTCCACGTTCTCCTCGACGTCATCGTCAGAGTCGTGGTGCTACGTCGATCGAAAAGAGCCTCTCCGTTGTACGCGCCCGCGCACATGTTTTACCTCGCATGCGTATTGAACGCATGGTTTCTCCCTCTTTCTCGTTCTCTCGATATCGCCTATGACTCTATCTCCCTCGTGCCTCGTTTTTCCGCGTACATTCGCTCTTTCATCTTTCCAGTCGCTTTTTTCGCCCGTGTTCGCGCAGTATTGCGTCCTAAGACTACCGGGATGGTCTGGGAAAAGAAGTCAGCTTCTCGGTGAATGAAAATGAATAAAGAGAGAAATTTATGTTAATTTCGAGTAGATATTGCATCGCGGGTTGATTTGAATGTAAGTTAGACGCGACACAGGCTGATGATAGAGAGAATCGAGCGGAAACTTCCTTCCTTTACGCGAATCATCTGCATTTTTTCCATACTCGTTGTTATTTTTGTTTTATAATCGTGAGAATTGCATGATGAGAATTTAAATGTGAATTGTTCATTGAATACATAATTTTTTCGAGTAAGAGATATGTATATATTCATAAGAATGTTGATAAAGATTTATTATAGAATATCATTCGTAACGTTAAAAGTTGCCTATTTGATTTTTTAATTGCTCATATATCGGATAAGAAAGATAAAAAAGAAAAATAATTTTTGATATGAGAAAATTACCATTGATTTTCGCGATTCGGGTCACTGTTCTATAACGCGTATATGTAATATATACGCGTATCATGAATTTCAATAATACGAACATTTGTGGTTCTACTATGTGGCCATGTAATAGACTCGATAATACAACTAATCGTACATCCTTTCCCTTCCGTTTTTGTCCCTGTTTTCTTTGATCAATATTCTCATCCCCTGCCACATTTTTCCGCCATTCTTTTTTTTTTGCCATCCTCCCCGAGCAATCGTTTCTCTCCTCTTCCTATTTCCCTTCTTCTTCTCCTACTTCTTTTTTGCCACCAACTAAATTCGTTCGAGGTCGTCTCTCGTTGAAGAAGTTTCTGCAACAAGACTGCGCGGGAGCACACTTGTAAGAACAGGAAACGTTGTGGGTGAGAAAGAAGGATGAGGAGAGAAACAGAAGGAAAGGTAGCTTCGCAAGGAATTCCTATTAATTCCAAATAAAGCGACATTTTTCTCTTCGTGACGTTTGAATAGAGGTGCGAATTGAACTGGTCAATTATACCGAGAATTGAATGCAAATTCCTTCATGTTTCTCCGGCATGTTGTTCCTTCCCTTCTTCTTTCCTCCCTTTCTTATTCTTTTTCCTTCCGTCGTCGTCCAAGCGTGCTTGTTTCCATCCCGCTATACTTTCTCCTTTTTTTCTCTACAATCCTACAAGTCAGCCATCGCCTTTCCTCTCCCTTTATCGTAGCGCAAAAGCCGTTCTTTGTGTCGATGCTCCATGCTGGAATGCAAAAATTTTCAAGGAGACGAGAAGATATTGAAGAATCATGAATGGGAATAACAACGGGGTTGGGCGTTTATATTAATGCTGGATGTGGAGCGGGATGTCCAGACTTTTCCTTCAGAGTGTGACACAGAATGGAGGCACGGTTGAGGGTGTTTAATTACACAGGGAGAGAAGTAAATTTACCTGTTTTCCTGTGATCTCGCCTCTCCCTCTCCTTCCCTAACAAGCTCCCTGCCTAGAAACCCGATTCTCCGCTAGCCACTTTGCCACGTTAATCGTATTTTTGCCTCGGACTTCCGGTTTTCTTCCCTCCTTTTCTCTCCCCTCTTCTCTTTTTTTTTTTTCCTATAAATTAGTTTGCTTAATCCATTCGCCAGTCGCTCAAACTTTCCTCTTGGAAACTCTCTCTCTCTCTTTCTTTCTCTTTATCTCTTCTTGTCACTTATTTCTTTACTTTTCTCGTTTTTCATCTTTTTCATCTTTCGTATTTTTCCCTTTTCGTCGCGAAGCTTATCAGAAGAGAAAATGGAGAGAGAGAGAGAGAGAAAGAGATTCAGAGGAAAGATGGTCGAACGTGTATCGGTAAAAAACGAGCTATGAAAAAGAGAGGGGCGAGCGAGGAAGAGAAATTACCGATGCAATAAGATTTGAGCTCGAAATTTCTCGAGGTTAAAATTAATTAATTAAAAAATGGTGTATATATAATTGATCCTCGATCTCTTTCGCGTTAACATCCTCCATTAACAATATCTTTATCACTTCATCATTTTCATCTCTTTCTTTTTTCATCGACTATTTTATCTCCTCTTTATGGTGTACGAATCATTCGAAAGGAATTTTATTATCTCTTTTACTTTCTCGTTTAAACAAGTTACTTCTTTTTTTTTTTCTTTTTTTAAACGAATCTTCGATTCCCAGACACTTAACATTCACACAGCTCGTCGTATTCTCATCCTATATTATTTTCCTCATTTTCGAACATCGTCGTTTCATCGTTCTTTCACCATTTAATCTACATTTAATTTAATCGCGAATATCCTTTTTCCACCAACCATCTTCAACCAACTGCGGCTCTTGATCAAACCCTTTGCCCACCCTTTGCAACGGCGTGTATTCCGATGAAACGGAAACCGGCGAAGCTTTTAAGAGAAAGGAGAGCGTGTCGGAGAGTCATCGGTGAAAACGAGGCGCATAATCATAATCACGATGACGATACGAGTTCCGATGCACGACTTGGTGAATGAGTTAATGAGGACGTTCCATCGAAAGGTGAATGTATCATCCTACGCACTCCCCCCTCCCTTCTCCCTTCCAACATTCTGACAAGGCTTCGGGGAAATTTACCTCATCGTACATTACCGTATACACCTATTCACAGGGAGTTACGCTCGCGGAGTTTGTAAACCAATTTAAAATTACATCTGCCACGATTACGTCTTAATAAAATCACATGCAGGATAATGATAATACGCGTTGCAATATTATTAATAATAATAATAATAATAATAATAATAATAATAATAATAGCGATACGGTGTATGATATAATGATAACAATAATAATTGGAAGGTTTTATACTGGAAGATATATTAAACAATGAATTTATTTTTTTTTAAATTTGCTTGTTAATATTACGTTCTTAAGATCTGTATAAAAAATTACTTTTATATTTTCATTAATATCGAAGTGTGTGTGTGTGTGTGT